CCATGCAGCATGGCCAAAATAAGAAAAACGTACTAAATAATTTTTTGGCTGTGCCAGGTGACTTGCAAGATCTTAGTTCCTTGACTGAGTATTGAACCCTGGACCACTGCAGTGAAAGTACCAAGTGCTAAGCACTGGACTGCTAGGGAATTCCCCTTTCAAATCTCTTAAATCTAAAATAAAGTTTTTTAGTTTGGAGAAAACTGAATTTTCTTTTGTTGTTAAGGGCAGTGGGATTGAAAGTCTGATAGGTTAAAACATCCAGTGGCACATACATCCTCCCTTCTGTTGCCCTTTCTCACCCTAATCCTTTTCGGAGGCCAAATCCATTCACTCATCAAACCTTCCTTGAATCTGATGTTCTAAGTGAAGGAGAGACAGCCTCTGTCCTCAAGAAGTTCATGTTTAATAGGGGAGACAGACATTAGTGGTTTATGTAGTATCAGTAAGGGATTAAAGGTGTTGAGAGGTGATGTTGTAGCTGATATGAATGAGACTGATACAAATAGCATTCTAAGCAAGGAAGCTGCAGGACCTCGTGGTTAAAAAAAAAAAAAACCCTGATTGCTGGAATTATGCCTCCTGGTGTTGATTGTTAAGTGGCAAGAAATGAGATCCAAAAAGACTTTAAGGAGCTGCTGCTGCTAAGTCAGTCGCTTCAGTCATGTCCAACTCTGTGCGACCTCCTATACGGCAGCCCACCAGGCTCCCCCATCCCTGTTATTCTCCAGGCAAGAACACTGGAGTGGGTTGCCATTTCCTTCTCCAATGCGTGAAAGTGAAGTCACTCAGTCGTGTCTGACTCTTAGTGACCCCATGGACTGCAGCCCACCAGGCTCCCCCGTCCATGGGATTTTCCAGGCAAGAGTACTGGAGTGGGTTGCCATTGCCTTCTCCAGACTTTAAGGAGATTGGATGATTAACCTCTACAGTATTTTCTATAATTAAATTTCTAACAGAGGTCTTAAAATTTGGCCCTAAGAGCAAAGTTCAGAAAATATTTGAGTGCCTACCTGTTCTGTGGCAGCAATGTGGACATAAGATATAATTGTTACCTTCAGAGAGCTCAAATTAATGAAGAAAACAAATGGTACCGCAGTATGTGTTAAGATGTGTGGTGCCCAAAAGGATCATTGACTACTTCAATTTGAAAAAGTCATGTTTTTCATTAAACTTTCATAATTGTGTTTAATTTTATTGAGCAACTTTTTAGATCTATCTTGCAACTTAGGTCATCTGTTCCAACAGCTGAGGAACTGGGGCCCAGAGAGTAAGTGATTGGCCTAAAGTTCTAGAACCAGAACCTGGAATTCCTCTTGGCAGATTCTGTATTTATCACTACATAATTCCTTTTTAAGGAGTGTTTCTAGGGATACACTAGAGAAGTGTTAACTATCATTAGGAAACTGTTAGAAAGTTCTTTATATTGAACCCATACTTAATCTGACCACCAAAAGTAACGTGTTTTCCCTTTTGCAAGTTAAAAAAAAAAAATCCCAATTTATTCAGTTGTTCTTCATATGAAGAAGGAAGGAGGAGAAGAAAATGTCTACTCACTGCAATACTCTTGCCTGGAGAATCCCCACGGACAGAGGAGCCTGGCGGGCTACAGTCCATGGGGTTCCAAAGAGACACAACTTAATGATTTAAGAACAACAATGATCCTTTTCTATTATGATTACTTGCCTTTATACAGTATCATAGGATATGTCTATCGATCCCTGGAAATTGTACCGCATTTTAGCTGCAATTCCACCAGCATGAATAACCTAAAATTATTATACCTGCAATTTCAGAATCTGTACATAATTATTAGAAGTTGAAGCTTAAAACTCCCTCTCCTGGATCCTTTCCCCCCAGCTTAAGTGTCCCATTTTCCTTGATACTAAGTAATGCAGAAAATGGTCATCTTTGCATTGGGTTCATAATGTTGTTTTTCATGGTATCTGTCATTAAAAATCACTATTTTGCTCCCCCAATATTTACTAGCTCCCCCAATAGTTTGGTTGTTGTTTGTTTTTTTTTTTTTTTTTAAGAAAAAGAAATTTTTTTAATTGTGGTAAAGTAGCATATTCACCATCTTAGCTGGTTTTCTCCCGATTCTGTTATATGATCTTACTTATTTGCTTTTGGCTGCGCCACATCTTCACTGCCGGTGGGCTCTTCAGCTGCAGCAAGCAGGAGCCACCGCCTAGTTGGGCTGCTCGGACTTCTCACTGCAGTGGCTTCTCCGGTTGTAGGTCACGGCTCCAGGCTCACGGGCTCCAGCAGTTGTGGCGTGGGCCCGATAATCGTAGCACACAGACTTAGTTGCTCTGCCACATGTAGGATTTTCCTGCATCAGGGATTGAACCTGGCCTCCTGCCTCCTGTATTTAAAGGTGGATTCTGTACCACTGAGCCACCAAGAAAGCCCCAGCTTAACCATTTTAAACGTACGGTTCAGTGGTTAAATACATTCACATTTTTGTGCATTCAGTCTCTAGAACTCTTGTAAAACTGAAACGATACATACCATTGACTTCTCCATCTTCCTCTACCCCACTCCTGGCAACCACCATTCTACTTTTTGTCTCTCTGCATTTGACTAGGTAACTCATGTAAGTGGAATTAATAGTCATGTTTTTTAAATTAACTTTCCTAATAGAGTGGTATCTTTAATATATAAACTCAGTTTCTTAAAACATAGTTACAATATATTTTATAGTTTTGCATCTTGACTCATTGAGGCAATAAAGTCAGAAGATAATTCATTGTTGGTAGACTAAAGAAAAATAATGCAAAATTTCTCACGAGTCCTTTTTCTCTCCTTAATCAAGAGTGAGTGTGTCCATAGGGCTTCCCTGGTGGCTCAGTGGTGAAAACCTGCCTGCCAGCACAGGAGGCACAGGTTTGGTCCCTGATCTGGGAAGATCCCACATGCCACAGAGCAACTAAGCCTGGGGCCACAACGCCTGAGCCTGTAGCTCTCGAGCCCATGAGCCTCGACCGCCAGAGCCCAAGGTCCTAGAGCCTGTGCGCCATAACACAAAGCCCCACTTACCACAGGTCGAGGAAAACCTGTGCACAACAGAGACCCAGCACAGCTTGGAAGAGTGCAACTGTACCTTCTTGCACATCTAAGCCCCAAGCATGTGTTCAGAATTCACTCCTGCTCTCATTTTTGCATATTATATAGACGCTGCACCTGTACTTGAATTCTGACTGCCCTGTTTTTGCTTTTAAATGGTGTCTTAATCTATTGTTGTGTTGTTATTTAGTCACTAAGTTGTGTCCAACTCTCTGCGACCCCATAGACTGTAGCCCACTAGGCTCCTCTGTCCATGGAATTTCCCAGGCAAGAATACTGGAGTGGGTTGCCATTTCCTTCTCCAGGGGATCTTCCCGAGCCAGGGATCAAACCCCTGTCTCCTGCATTAGCACGTGGATTCTTTACCACTGAGCATCCTGGGAAGCGTCTTAATCTATCAAACCAGGAATAGTCCTCAGCTTAGGTCTAAGTGTAGTTGGTGATATGTTTCTCTTAGTTCTTTAAATTCATTTGTTCAATTTCCCCTTAGTTACAGTGCATCTAAGTTTCTTCTAAATGTCAGGCTGTTTGGATACTAACATGAAAGCTCTTATATCTCTCTTAAGGGAGAAATTTTAAACTTCTAGGTTTAGAATATGAAGTAGAAAAATGGGAATTAAATTTGTTTGAGGTATTAAAGATGCTTTACCTAGGAAGAAATACTTTTAAAAGTACTTTTAAGTACTTAAAGCTGAGCGCCGAAGAATTTATGCTTTTGAACTGTGGTGTTGGAGAAGACTCTTGAGCGTCCTTTGGACTGCAAGGAGATCCAACCAGTCCATCCTAAAGGAAATCAGTCCTGAATATTCATTGGAAGGACTGAGGCTGAAGCTGAAACTCCAATACTTTGGCCACCTGATGCAAAGAACTGACTCATTGGAAAAGACCCTGATGCTGGGAAAGGCTGAAGGCAAGAGGTGAAGGGGATGACAGAGGATGACATGGTTGGATGGCATCACTGACTCAATGGACATGAGTTTGAGCAAACTCCGAGAGTTGGTGATGGACAGGGAAGGCTGGCTTGCTGCAGTCCATGGGGTCACAAAGAGTCAGACAAGACTGAGTGACTGAACTGAAAGGACTTAAAAATCATTGAGCCAAGTAGATACATAAATTTGTTTCTCTAATAAAGGCTCTTTAGGGGAGTTTCCTGGTGGTATAGTGGGTAGGATTCCATCCAGGCTGTCACTGCTGTGGGAAGGGAACTGAGATCTGCAAGCTGTGAGGTGCGGCCCCCAGAATGCTCTTTAATAAAGAGCATCTTTATATATATATTTGGCTGTGCTGGATCTTAACTGCAGCATATGGAATCTAGTTCCCTGACCAGGAATGAACCTGAGTTCCCTGCATTGGGAGCACTGAGTCTTAACCACTGGACCACCAGATAAGTCCCAAAGAATAGCTTTTGAATGAATCAGTTTCTTCCATTCCCTCTGTGTAAAGCTTAACTTACAGTCCCCATGGTTTGTGTATTGTAATTAACTGTATTATATTTAAAAGCTAAGACAATTTGCTGTGAGAAAAAATTAGTAGTAACCTTATTTATCAGGAATATGTGTGAATAAAATAACATTTACAGTTTTGGTTTGTGTGCATATGGTATCAGACTCTGTATATAAAGAATATATGGTACTGTGGCTCATTTTGCCATTCTCTGTACTCCTGGGAGGTTGTTTTGTTGGAAAGGATAATATTTGAGCTATCCCTGAGAAGAGCTTTATAAGAATTGTTGTTTGAAATACTTTTGTTTTAAGCTACGCTTTCCTATAACACAATGTGACATTCTTTTGGCTGAGATGAGGGCTTTTTGAAAAATAAATTTCAGAGAGCTAGTTCTAATTCTGTTTATGAAATAAAAATGTGTGTTCTAATATCTTAGAAAGGTCCTATATTTTTATTATCTTGATTAGAGTCTTTTCTTTCTACAGAAATAGGAAGGTCGTTGATTATTCACAATTTCAGGAATCCGATGATGCTGGTAAGTTTTATGATTTCAGTAAGTAGTAAATTGAACTGATTAGTGGAAGAATACCCAGCTTATTTACACTTTTTTAATTCTTTTGAAATTTTTAATATTTAGACTATTTTGACATATAAATTACATCAGTCTGTGTCACTCAAATGTTGAACCTGCGTGGATTTTAATTTTTCCTTAGTAAGTCATTGATAATAAACACTTCAATAATTTTTTTTCTTACCTAGTTTTGGAGTCCAAAGTTTAAATGTGCAATAATTCTGATACATTGTTTATTAGTTAATATATCTCCTGCTGTAATCACAATAAAACTCATACCTTGTAATAGGGAGCATGTATGTATTTTGCTCTGGGAGTTGGACAGGGAGGCCTGGCATGCTGTGATTCATGGGGTCGCAAAGAGTGGGACGCGACTGAGCGACTGAACTGAACTGATGTATTTTGCATGATGAAGTAAGATGAGAGTTTTTGTGCAACACCTTTGATTTGTGAACTAACTGTAGAGAGGCTAGTGTATCGTAAATCTTAGCCATAAAAGGTTTCTTTAAAATATGTCCTTACTCTAATTTTCAAGATGTGTTTACTGTTCTTTTTTCTTTATTTTTTTAATCTAATGTTACTTTATAAAGATAATATTATATGCTTTGGGGAAATGTAGGAAATGCAGCAATGTATAAAGAAGAATAAAAAAAGAACATAACCCAACTTCCCAGAGGCAATACTTGCTAACTATTTTTGTTTACTCACTTAATCCTTAGCTCAGTCCTGTTAAAATGGTGTTATAAGTATTGTTATTTTCATTTTACAGATAAGGAAACTGAGACAGAAATATTATTCAAAGTCCCTTAGCCCTCAAGTAACCTTTTTGTTTTAAAAGGCTTTTGGTCTTTTTTCCTTTTAAAAATATAATGACATCTTTCTGTAGAATTTTGGATTCTGTTGTGCCTTTCCCAACTGCCCTTGCTTAGCTTTCTTGTGTTATGAAAAGTTTATGCTTGTTACTGGTTGTGTGGTATTCCATAATTTATAATTATTCAACCATTTAATAATTGCTGAAGCTTCACACTGTTCTAGATCCTCACGACTGTATATAACGGTATAGTGAACAGTTTTGGAAATAGTCACCTTTCAAGGTTTTATGGGACTTTTAAAATTGAGGATGTTTTCTTCAAGTGTCAGAGTGTGCTATATATAATACTTTAGCTTAAAAGTAATTTGCTTGATAATAGTAATTGTATTAGGATTGTAGAATTGTGGGTTCTTTACACTCTAAAATGCTTATAATAAAACCATGTTACTATAATAGTTTCCAAATAAATACAAAGATGTGGAAACATGTAAAAAGCTTTAGCAAATTAAAAGAGTAAAATATAAAATAAGAGATGTTTGACTGTGAGTATATTAAAGTATACACATGAGGACTAGAAAGCAATAGGCAAAAATAAAAATGATGACTCAAGGTGGAACTAGAGTGGAAAATAATTTTTTTTTGTAATGAGAGAAAATTATTTAGGAAATTCTGCCTTCTTAACTTTTAAACAGCTTGAGAGAATTATCTCAGTAAATACTGTGGTATTTTTGATATGTAAAAATCATAATACAGTTCATTGAATTTGATAATTTTTATCTTCATAAATAAAATTTTATCTTCATAATCTGTTTAGATGAAGATTATGGAAGAGATTCAGGCCCTCCAGCTAAGAAAATTCGATCATCTCCCCGAGAAGCTAAAAATAAGAGGCGATCTGGAAAGAATTCACAGGAAGATAGGTAAGAGGCATTTTACCTATCTGTTTCTACTTACACTGCCACCACTGTAAGATGAGGGTAGTCTCTGATCTCTAAACTGGTAGAATCTTCAGTTACTTTGGGAAAGTGCCCGTTGCTCACTTAGTGTTGTTTTGTGTATTTCATATTATCAAAGCATGCAGTGCTTTGATTCTAGAGGTTAGCCTCTTTAAGGTCATGGAGGCTTGCTTAGACTCAACCTGGAGTCTCAAGTGAGCTCCAGGAATGATAGAATGATTTTGTTGCTACCACAAACCTCTGAACAAAGGCAGAAAGATTGTTTAAGTATGTATTGATAATTTGTTGCCCAAAGTTACTATTGCCATTTTCACTGTAGAAAGAGCAAAGAATAAGTGACCTTTCCTATTCAGAAAATCACTGGCACAAATCGCTGACAGAATTATAACTAAAGCTTATAGAATCTTAAGTTCCTTTGCCTGCTGAGTTTTATAGAATCAATCCTACTTTGTTTAAATGATTTAATCATTTTGAGTTGTTCCCTTTCCCTTCACTTTATAAATGAGTTCAGATGAGTTATATTTTTACATGTAATTGCCTCACAAGACCAGGGTGCTGTAGCTTTCATCTCTGCTCTTACAGGCATACGTGTGAGCTCTCAAATTCAAGGTAGTATAACTATACCAAGACTTACCTGATGGTGGTGGTGATGATAGTTACCATTTATGATTATTATGTGCCAGTATCTATTATGTGCTAATTTATAATCATTATCATTTAATGCTCACAAAACCTTTATTAGGCTAAGTAACATTAACTCAGAGGAGTCAGTGATTTATCTAAGGACCAGCAAATGAATCAACAGGTTTTAAAGCCATGTCTATTGGACTCCAAAATCCATTTTTTTAGCCATTAGACTATACCACTTCCAAACAATACTATTAAGTATGAGCATTTCAAAGAAATGAAATGATAATTCTCATTAGTTCTTCTAAGATATTTACTTTTAAGCACTAAAATCAGTATAATAAAGCCCTGAGTAGAAGTCTTTCATTCTGAATTCACAGAAAGCTAACTTAATACATTCACCAAGCATTTTCTGTTTGCTTGAATCACTAACCTCTAATATTTTCTTTCCTGGAGAATTTCAGAAATGTGGAAAAATTTTGAGGAAAAATAAGATCAAATTTTACTGTAGGAAGATAACTCTTCCATAGTTTCATTAATATATCTCTCTAATCTAATTATTTTTTCAAATAATTTTTTTTTTTTTTGATGTGGACTATTTTTAAAGTCTTTATTGAATTTGTTACAGTATTGCTTCTGTTTCATGTTTTGGTTGTTTTTTGGTCACAAGGCTTGTGTGATCGTAACTCCCTGGCTAGGGATCAGTTCCACACCCCATGCATTGGAAAGCAAGGTCCTAACCACCGGACTGTCGGGGAAGTCCGTACTCCAGTTTCATACAGCAGCCCAACTTAGAATTGTCTTTTATTGTATTTATTTTATTATATTTTCCCTAGGAATGAGCATCTTCATTGCCTGTTATCATGTCTCACCAATATAATTGATATCTAGACTACATCTTTCATTGTTGCAATCATTTGGTTTTATTACTTTCTCCTATGTGTCCAGGAATGGTTGAAATACAGTTTTTGTTGCCATTTGTATTACCTTATATGTTTATTCCCTCAGACCAGTATTATGTTGATTTTTCTGTTGGTCTTTACTTAAAAGTTTAGCTATTACTTGACTTCACTTTAAAAGGGCTCAAGGATTAATGGCCTCTATAAACTCAATAATAAGATAAATAGAGAAAATGATTTCATTCTTCATCACTGTAATAGACTTGTGAATTAAATGCTTATTTTGCATAAAATATTTAGAACAGTCACAGTTTTCAAAATTACAATATATTTAGATCAGATTGCTTAGTAAAGAAATGTGTTTGGTTTTTTTCTTTGCTTAGAAATCTTGGGCTCAATAGTTTGTCATTTGAGTGTGATCTAGATTATGGGAATACTTACCAAAAGATTTACAGAATCTGCTGCTGAAAAAAAGAAGGCTATGAAGGCAATTTTATATATGATTTTTGTTGTTGTTGTTGTTGTTTGTCAGAATTTCTCATGGAATCATAAAATTTTAGCACTGAAGAGTACCAAGTGAATTGCCTAAGATCATACAGCTAATTAATTTATGACAAAGACAGAACACTAGACACCAGATTTCTAAGTTAAAATTTGTGAAGATATAAAATGTTCATTTTTGTGACATAAAAAATTTGATAAAATTTTCCATTTAACTTTGAAGCTCTTTAACTTTTACCCTGCAATGATCTTTAGCTCGCTTTTATTTTCTCCATGATGTAAGGCAGGCCTGTGTATTCAGATTTCTGATGTACAGCATACTGGACTCCTAAATATCAATATTAGGATATAATTAATTTATTTTCATTTTGCTTTAGATAAATTTTTAGGCATATTGTAATTTATATAACTCCAGTTTCCTTTAATAATTATAAGGGTATTTGCTGCATTTATATTTGGTGCTATCCACTCATTTGCCTTCTTTACCACCGTTGATACATTACATGGTTTATTTTCATTATAGTCATACTCTGTCTCTGACAACGAAGTTTTTTTCTTAGTAAATGTTCTAGTGAACCAAGGCTTATGCATAGGTAAAAAGTTTTAGCCTATGTTGAGATACCTTCATTTTTTCTTTTGGGTCTTCAAAGGAAGCAATATTTTCCAAAAGTGGATAAAATTGTTCTTAATCACCAGTATCTCTGTGTATTAGGGAAATGATGGACGCAATTTCACTCCTCAGCATCTGAATTATTTTATGTATAACAGATTTTCTTTAGTATTGTTCTCCAGTCAGATTTCTAGAGATTTATGTTCACTTGGATTTTGATCTAAGACTTTTAAACTTTTCCCCCTTTTTCTTATAGTGAGGACTCAGAAGAAAAAGATGTGAAGACTAAGAAGGATGATTCTCATTCTGCAGGTAGTAAACAATTTTTAATGTAGTAGCTGTAATTCTATTTATATATTTATTTATTGAACATTTTAATAAATGGTTTCATAATAGTGCCAGGCTCTGTGGTAAATACCACATTACAAACAGTAAGTGTTTCCATATTCTAAGAGCTCACAATGATTCTCACTCCTAGTGACTTATTACAGTTTCCTATGGAAGTTTTGTTTTTTTTTTTTTTTTTTTTTTTTTTAAGAATACTTATGTCCATCCCATGCCAGGACTTCTGATTCAGTAGGTCTAGGTGGGATGTTGGGGCTTTGTTTTTTAAAAGTATTTACAGATTATTCTCATGCATAATTGAAATTGTGCATAATCAAAATTGAAAACCACTTACATGAACAAATAAAAGATATCAAACTATATAGAATATATATAATACTAAGTGAAATCCAGGTATAAAATACAGGAAGTGATGACTGGGTTGAAAAGAAACAATGATTAGTTTTAGTTTGACTTTTTAGCTGTGAAGAAGTCCTTTGAAACAGCCACAGAGAAAGCTTTTTTGTAAGAGTTTTAACTTAAAAGCATCAATTGAAGAGACTCTGACTAGATTAAATGTTAAATCCTGATTATTTGTTGTTGGTATTTATTTTTTAAAATTTAACTTGTTCAAGAATTGAGAGTTCCATCTCGCTCCCATCCATTTTAGTCTTGGTCTACATCCCCATGCTGTTTAGGTAAGATGTGAAGGGTAGACAAAGTTCCACTGCATTCACTCTACTGAGCTGTTTTTTCCTAATCATGGGCTGGGCTCGGTCTCCGCTGCTGCGCAGGCTTTTCCCGGGATGCGGCGAGCCGCGCTATCTCTGACGGCTTCCATTGCCGTGGCGTCTCTTGTTGCCAAGCGCGGGTACCAGGGCACGCAGACCGAAGTTGCGGCTCCCGGGCTCTGGAGCTCAGGCTCAAGGGTTGTGGTGCAGGGGCTCAGCTGCTCTTCAGCACGTGGGATCTTCCCGGATCAGGGATCAAACCCGTGTCCCCGGTATTGGCAGATGGACCCACTGAGTCACCAGGAGAGCACTCCTCTGAGCTGTTTCGCTTTCACTTGTTCAAGTCTGCTAAATGATTGTCTGAAAAGAAATTGTATTAACTTTTTGCACTATCTAGCTAGTAATGTGATAATGTAACATACACTTTTACTCATTTACCTTGTAAACCCTAACTGAATCGCTCGTGTTTATAAGCATTTGAGCACCTCAAGATGAATAACTCTGTACTAATGTTAAGCATACCTCCTACCAAGTGGGTTTAGTTTTGAGTCTGCCAAAATCAGCTCTGTTCTTGTGTCTGTTGTCTTCAGGTGAAGTTTTTGGTAGTGGAAGTGATGACTTGAACAGGGACCATAGCAAGGCTTATAAGATTCTAGTGTTTCCAAAAGAGTAACAGCTAAACCTTGACAGGAGAAGGGCTGTAGGTGAAACTAATATAAATATAACTTGGTCTAGAGGCAGTAGACTGGCATCCTGCCCTTTAAGTCAGATTTATGCAAGACCACAACTATGTGCTAAAAAGGTTTTAATTAATAAACTGTAGTATATGAGAGTAATTTTTTTATTATAAAATTGTATTAAGATCTGATTGATCTAATTGTGTGTTTTGAAGATTTCCCTCTGTCTCCTCTAAACTGAAATGGCCACACCTCATTCGTTGAAAAGGATAGTAGTTTGGCATTATTTTTAGTTCTGTATGTTTTGTATTGTAGAATGGATATATTGGAAAACAGTCATCCCCTGTTCTACTATTTAAAATATTTTTTCTAACTTTAGTTTCTAAAAACTGTGTAGATAGGTTTGAATGTAATTGAGAATTTTAGGGTACAGCAGTAATGTAAGTTTAAAGCATGTTATAGGAAGCATGTGTTCATACCTAAATTCAGCTTTATTATTACTTAAAACTACAAGCCTAGGTTATTTCATATGTAATAGTGGGCGAAAGTGAAAGTCACTCAGTCATGTCTGACTGTTTGCAACTCTTTGTCTGACTCAGTCCATGGAATTCTCCAGGCAAGAATACTGGAGTGGGTAGTCTTTCTCCAGCCGATCTTCCCAACTCAGGAATCAAACTGGTGTCTCCTACATTGCAGGCAGATTCTTTACCACCTGAGCTATCAGGGAAACCCATAATAATGCATGCATAGCCTTATTCAAGTTCATTCTTTGAATTTTACCTGTTTTTTTGCATATTTTGTAGACATTTTTAGGAATAGAACTTTCCCTTTCTGAATGAAATAAAGCTGCAGTTTATATCTTACATTGCCTTTTCCAGTCATCTGTCAAACCCATAACTCTTTGATCATTGCATTATAACTTTGATATTGCAGAGGACAGTGAAGATGAAAAAGAAGATCATAAAAATGTGCGCCAGCAACGGCAGGCAGCCTCTAAAGCAGCCTCTAAACAGAGGGAGATGCTCATGGAAGATGTGGGCAGTGAAGAAGAGCAAGAAGAGGAGGACGAGACGCCATTCCAGGAGAGTGCGTAACGTGCCTTGCATCTTGGTCATGGTTGTCGTTTGTGACCTCAGTTTTACTTCAGCAATATTTTGGATACTCAGTGTTAAAATCAGCCCCTTAAATTAGATACTCAGTGTTATTAGAGATGATTGTTTTATATCTATTTATATTTTAAAAGACTCAGAGATTCTCATGATTATTATCTGATTAAGTTCGTCAAATAAATACTTAAGTACTGATTAAATACTCAAATAGTGATTAAGTGCACCATTCATTCTCATATACTGAATGAACCATTGTTAGAATAATAAGATCTGTATTTTGTCCTAGTGGAGAAAGGTGTAGACCTCTCTGCAAAAATGGTGTTAAAAGAATTTAGATGTTTCACAGGATACTCAGATTAATTAATTATATGTATATTTGCTTTGTATGTAGGTTTCTTACTTTGTTTATAGTTGGGCCAAAGACACCAAATCAGTTCACTTTCATTTCCCTGGTCTTATCAGGACTATATGGAAAATATAGAACTACCAGGAGTTATTTGATGGCTTCAGTTTTTATCCACTATAAGCCTAATCTCTTCCTGTTTTCTGCCTACTCGTCAAACAAGTCAGTCGTGTAACCCTCATGTGCATGTTAAACCATTTTACAGGTGGGGCCAATGACAGCTCCATTGTAGTACAGCTTGGTACTATGAATTGGTAGTACAGCTGCAAATAAAACCCAAGAGTGTCTGACTTCCAAATCCCATCCCCCATTCTTAGCACTCTCTCCCTTTGTTCACTTGGAAGGATGTATACATTAAGTTGGACGTTGAAATTCTTCTTTCCTCTCAGAAGATTCCGGCAGTGATGAGGATTTCCTAGTGGAAGACGATGATGATAGTGACTATGGCAGTTCAAAAAAGAAAAACAAAAAGATGGTTAAGAAGTCGAAGCCTGAGAGAAAAGAAAAGAAAATGCCGAAGCCCAGGCTAAAGGCCACAGGTGAGCTCTGCAGAAGTCAGGTTAAGTCACCAGTAAACGTTCTCTACAGAAATCCTTCAGTAGGACTTGATAGTGGTCACACAACAAAAACTAAAGGATCCTATCTTCTGTACCTGGAAGTATCATTTATTTATTATTAAGGACTCCAGCCCCTCCAGGAGTTTGGTGGCTTGGCCCTGTTCTTCAACTAGTGCTGTACAGAAGGCAAGATTTGGGAATAACCTATTAACACTGCACCAACTTAGCTATTCGGAGAAGGCAGTGGCACCCCACTCCAGTGCTCTTGCCTGGAAAGTCCCATGGACGGAGGAGCCTGGTGGGCTGCCGTCTATGGGGTCACAGAGTCGGACACGACTGAAGTGACTTAGCAGCAGCAGCTGAGCTATTAACTGCCTTTTTTCCCACTGATGTCACAATCCCAGCAGCTCCTAAAGACTTAAAATTGTGAAAATACACACCTACAGTAATACATTTAAGCATTCTGATTTGTACAGAGAATGAAATCACTCTTGACAGCATAGGTTTATTTTCTTTGGGCCCTTGTGGTTTCTGTCAGATATTCTTCTGGGTGAAGCTAGTTTGTCATTAAATCAGAAAACTGGATTTGCTTTTTTTTTTTTTTATTCTGGCAAACTGAAAGTGAAGTTGCTCAATTGTGTCCCCGACTCTTTGCAACCCCATAGACTGTAGCCCACCAGGCTCCTCCGTCCATGGGATTCTCCAGGCAAGAATACTGGAGTGGGTTGCCATTTCCTTCTTATTCTGGCAAATAGAACTTTTATTCATCATGTCTTACTATTTGGTAATGATGGAAATATTAAAAGTTACTTGATGGGGACTACCCTGACCCTCCAGTGGTTTAAGACTCCGAGCTTCCAGTGCAGTGGGCACCAGTTCTATCCCTGATGAGGGAACGAAGACCCCACATGCAGCATGGCCAAAAAATGTAAAAAAACAGGTATTTGATGGCTTTCTAGTCCATTAAGTTGCATCACCTCTTCTTCACTCAAGTTTTAAACATAAACAACTTACAGTTTTGCAAGCCACCAAGGATACTGTGTAGTTTCTTTATTTACAAACATTACTGTTAACATACTAATGTTAGCTGAAAGTGTTTGAAAACCAAGTACCCACTTTCATTTTCAGTAAGTCTGGGTGTCGTCTTTATGATTTTTTTTCTTACAGATTATTCTGTAGCTGATTTTTGTTAAAAACGTTAGATGTTTCTTCCCTTCCCCAAGTTTGTATTTTTCTTCTTTCAGTGACGCCAAGTCCTGTGAAAGGCAAGGGGAAAGTGGGTCGCCCCACAGCTTCAAAGGCATCAAAGGAAAAGACTCCTTCTCCCAAAGAAGAAGATGAGGAACCAGAAAGCCCTCTGGAGAAGAAAACGTCTTCAAGTCCCCCGCCTGAGAAATCTGGGGATGAAGGGTCTGAAGAGGAAGCCCAGTCTGGGGAAGATTAAAAGTGATGATGGTCTGGGGAGAGATTTTATTTAAAAAGCAAAAAAAAAAAGAGAAAAAAGGAAAAAAGAAAAAAAAAAAGAGGGAAAAAAAAGAAAAGCTACTTAAGATAGAATATGGTTTTGGCTATGGCTTGACTCATGGGCTTTCAATGCTTTTTTTCCCTTTTGTTGAAAATAACATTTTCTTCTTTTCTTCTTTTTTTTTTTTTAAAGAAAAGCATTGTATGTTTAATTTACCTTTTTTGTCTATTGGTCTCTTCGTCATGACCCCCTCTTTCCGCCCCCCTCCCCTTTTCCCAATGAAAGCCATGTTAAATTAATCACTGGATTGACTGCTTCATCTTTTTATTTTCAATGGAGGGTATGCCACAGTTGTAAAGCAATAAGATTTGAGGTAAACGCTATGAAAATTTTGCTTTTTGCTAAATGGTAGCAAGTTGAACAGTAATCAAAAAATGTAGAAGGTCTTAGTTAAACATTATTGCTTCTTTCTCTACCTGAATTTAAAAAAAAATCAGTTGTCATCTAATACAAATTTATATTCTATATACAAAAATATGGATGTCTAAAAAATAATGATGTTAAACTTCCACTGATGGGGCAGGTAGGGGAGAAAGATGAATTCTGAACTGCTACTAAGGGTATTCATGTTTTTTACTGTGGGGCAAGGCAGGGGATCGAGGTTTCCTGACCCTGTTTGAGGATATAGGTTTGCTTTTTTTTAGTCTCATCACTTGTTATCTCTAGGAGACTCGGAGCCAGTGATCCTTTTATTCAGCTACAGTCTTTAAAGAACTTAAAAAAAGCAAGGGCCGCCAAAACTTAAATCTTTCTTGATTTCCTATTTCATTCTCTAACGGTTCATGTTTTTAAATATATATATGTATCTATTCTGTTTCTTGGATAAAAAATTTTACCAAGGATCAAAAGAAAAAACCCTAAGATTAAAATGGGGAGATCTATATATCACAGTGGGTTTCTTCTCAAACTGACAATGTTTAGGTTTTAAGCAAAATAAAGTGCCAGTTAATGTGAAACTCAATGACAAAGACTTGAGATTTTTGCTTTATGAAAACAGAGAGTTGAAATTCTGCACCATAAATGTGCACTTAGAGTCCATGAACCATGCTCTGCTTTTGTTGAGGGATAGAGAGTTTTCCTGTCAGACCCGTCCTTCTCATCTCTTGGTAGAAACATATGGAGCGCCTCTCTTGGCTTCCTGCTAGTGCACAGGGCACTAGTGCGTAGCCCGCTTGCAGCGCCCACCACCCTGCTCCAGAGCATGGTTTCTCCTGGTCCTGTTCTTCACTTCTAATCCTGTACTTGATGGGAGCATGGGACATGCTGCTCCAACACTGCTCAGTTAGCGTTTGTCTTTATACCGGTGCCCTTGCTGACCGCATGTCACTTACAGCCACAGTTACGGGGCTCTGCAGAGCTGGGGAGACCGTGCATTCGGGAGGCCTGTGTGCAGTGGGTAACAGGCCAGTCACATGCCTTATGAAGGTAGTCAGGGGACAGATCTGTAGGCTCGCTTCCCCACTTTCTGATACCATGAGCTAATGGGAACAAGGTTTAGGAGGGGGTCTTAGTGTGCTAATTGGCTTCCCAGGTGGCTAAGTGGGTAAAGAAACTGCCTATTATGCAGGAGACGCCGGAGATACGGGTTCAATTCCTGGGTTGGGAAGATCCCCTGGAGAAGGGCATGGCAACCCACTCCAGTATTTTTGCCTGGAGAATCCCATGGACAGAGGAGCCTGGCGGGCTATGGTCTATAGGGTCACAAAGAGTTGGACAGGACTGAAGCAACTTAGCACAGGACACAGTGTGCTAATAAATTGAAAAATTAGTGAAATTTAACATCTGCCTTTGTATCTAGATTTGCTTCCTCAGTATTTACTAATGCAGTTTTCTTTCTATCTACTGTTATAGCATGTTTTTCTCTCAAACAACCTGGCTTTCCTACAGATGTTCATAGAAAACGGTTATTTAAGGAATATTTTTGAGACACTGTAAGGAATATCCTTACTCTGTGATTTTTTTTTTTTTAAAGAAAGCACCAGTGGCAGAGAGTCATTTCACTGTTGCACTGTGGGGATTAAAGAAGGAATTTGGAGATTTTAGTACTCAGCCAAATATGTAAAACTTGAACATAAGTAGCAATTGGACTATTATCTTTCATGATGGTTGACTTTACAGTTGTGAACTTTGTAATGAGGTGTTAAAGATTATTCTGTTTGCTTTATTGGTTTGTTCAGGTATTTTAACAAGAAGGTTTGTGTTCACATGTTTTTTAAAAACCTATCAGTGTTTCCACCATGCACTTCTGTTTTTAGGGGTTTATAACTTTTAAGTCTTAACATTCCTAGTAACATGTGTGCTTTCCTCACGAAGACTAGGGGGAAGGGTCTTTTAAAACTTTAGCCTTAGTATTTTATGTAACAGTCTCCTTAGTATATTAATCTGCACTAACGTTTCTGTGATATATGCACATCCTTTAGGGTAATCACATCCTCTAGGTTATTTGTGTGCATTTGGTTGGGCTTTTTGTTTGGGATCCCTTTTTTAAAGGTTAATTCATGAGATTAAAAAATGTATATTTCTAATAGACTGGACAAAAGGATCTGTGTCCCAAGAGAGACAGGCTCTGAATGACCTTTGTTTTCTCCAGTTTTTGCTGATGATTTAAAACACTCTGGTCTTCCCCTCAAATCATGCATGCAAATAGGACAGCTGGGGTGTCTCAACTGGAAACAGGTGCTCAATGGTCAGGCTGACAGTGATGTCTGGACAGGTTACGGGCGACAGGCTGCTAGTGCCGCCGTTGGCACCCCCTTGGTTGAACGCCCCCTTTCTCTGGAGTGCCTCTAGGGGGTGCCGGCAGTGCTCACTGTCTTGTTTGCAGCTGCTCAGGAAGTGGGACATTGACTTTGAAAGTGCTTGTTTGCGTTCTCTCAGTTCTCTGTTAGCGGTTAGGTTTACCTCTGGAACATGAATTCGGCAGCTACGCTGACTGACACTACATTCTAGTTCTTCAGACTCTTTTCTCAGACTTCCCTCCCCAGCGCACACACACACAGAGCTAGGTAGCCTGGACCTTTTATACCTGTTGTAGCCTGCTGCTGCTCTTCGCCTTTCCCACCTCAGACTGGAATCAATGGAGTGGGCTAGAAGGATCCATGTTAGTTTTCGTAAGGGTAGCTTTCCCCTAGGTTGTAAAACATTTCTGCCTCTCATATCTCTGCTCCCTACTGAATCCAGGTAGGAAAATTAATGGGTGTTTTCCTCCTTTAGGGAGGTAGTGAGTGGAAATCTTTGAATCTTTGAAGAATAGTAGTTGATTTCCCATTATGGAGCTTTTGATAACCTTTTTTGTTTTTTCTCATAACTGGTTTGTTCCAGGTTCAGCCCTCAGTTCAATACTTATTCTTCGTACTGGTTCAAACAGCATTTTCTTACAGGTAACTGATCAAGAGTGGAATTTGAGGTTAACAGTCCAGTAAAGTTTTTGACATTCTTATAATATGATCAACTAAACTGAACTTGCCACTTTTTCTGAGGCTAGTTTTTTGGGGTTTGTTTGTTATATACATTGAAGTGACAGTGGGCTTTAGAGTCCTTATTGGGGGAAGGGAATAGTGTTTGTTTTTCCTTTTCCCTTTCTCTAGGAGATGCTTTGAGTTTGTCAGAAAACCAGGAGCAGAAATTAACTCCAGGAGCTACAGGGAAAGCTTTATAAAAGGTTATATGACCATCGTGGCTTTTATGAAGAAAGGGAGTTTTGATTTGAACACTTCTTTCTGTGCCTGCATCACCAGTAGCTATGCCTAGAAGAAGCTATCACCTTAGGAGTTTGGAAAGGCAGAAGCCTGGCCTCCAGTTTTTATGACATTCAGATAGAACAAGCAATATTCATTTGCTGTCAAGGGATAGCTCGAGGTTAGAGAGTTGTCCTTTTCTCTGTGCATGGAGCTGGGTTTATTTGAAAAGGGAGTTAGTTTATTTGAATATTGGGACGTCAAACTACTTAAAGCCAAATTTCAATCTGCAACCCATTTTCCCTTTTTCTTGACATAAGCTTGATACAAAATGAGTTTTCTTGACTCCCAAATCCCTAAGTTACACTTTTTTCTCAAAGCCTAATTCAGAATTCACAGTGGTGCTTTCTGTGTATTAACCACTATTGGAAAAAACCCTATATACCTGCCCGTGGCCATGCCATGGAGTGACTGGGCCGGTGATATCTGTATGGCGTGCTTCGTGTGGCTGGTGGGATGCCACCATTGTGCAGACACTTTGTACATCGGGGTGAAGGGAGGGTTTTCTAGATTACGGGGGGAGGGTAAAATTGGGATTTTTTTCTGTTGTTCCTTTTTTGATGGGATATAGGGGTATAGTACTCAATTTATGCCCTAAATAACTTGTATAAAATCCCTGACATATTGTGTGGGTGTGTGTGTGAGTGTGTGTTTGTTATATGTCTGGCAATTAAATCTTTGTCTTCTGGAAATTAGCAAATTCTTTTTTTTTTTCTCCAGAAGTATTTGTTACAAGATTTGTAAATAAGAGCTCTACTTAGTTTGTTTACCAAGAACATGTTGCAGCAAACCTTTTACACCTAATTCCCGCAAGGTTGAAGTAACGACTTTTAAGATTTGCCAGGTTAAGCAGCAGCCAGGTTCTCAGTCATTTTTGGCCTTGATTCATCTTTCAGACTTCATTTTGCCAGCTCTGAAATACCCAGTCTTCCTTAATTGTAGTCCTTAACCTTTTATGTTCTAGAAGCAGGAAGGGTGAAAAAGAAGAACCTGCTTAAATGTACTTAATTGCCCATGGGCTGAGACCCGGGCATCCCTAAAGACTGTAATGTTGCTAGGTACACGTGGTCAGACACCAGAGGGCTGGGCATCCTTGCAACACCTTAACAGTGCCGATACCTGCAGCATGGTACCAAGGAAGTTAAAAGTTTGAATGTAACCACTTTATTTAAAAGGTTTTTCTTTTAATTTAAATGAAATGGGGGTTGCAGTGAACATGATTTTGTTGACCATGTCCGTGAATTCTAGATGCAACATGCGTTGGTAGACTTGTGCGATGGTCTTTTGTGATCCTTAATTTTTACATACCCCAGTCTCTGTATGTACCTGCATAAACAAAGATAAACAAACTCCTGCTCTCTTTTCCTGAAGGGTCTCCAGGACCGCGTGTCTGTTCTGAGCTCTGCTTTCAGTGTGTGTGTCCTCTGCTTGTATTTTGTATTAAAAATAAGGAAAAGAACACTTTATTGTTGAGCATGTTGGCATTGTCCCTTTTATTTGTTTTCTCTTTTTGGGACATATGAAGCAAGTTATTCTTTTTCTGTATCTTTTTTTCTTTTGTAAACTTTTTTTTGTTTTGTTTTAAAATGGCTTTATAAAAGGGCTTTTGTAACCCAGATGCGTGCTCTGTGTACTTCTTGTAATACTCAAGCAAATACACTGATTTACTATACAACTGGGCACCTTGGCCTGTCACCTCCCAGTCTAATTTGACTTTAGGGGGAAACTGCTAGATGAATGAATTCTTTAGAAATTAGCAGTGGCCGTCACTGTTGTTGGTAACAGGAAAAGTATGTTTTGTCTTAACTAGGACTAGAGTTAGGAATCAAGAAACACTCATTAGCTTTTAATTACTCAAGGGAGCACGAGGCTGGGTGCATGAGGAGTCCTAGTTAGTGTTTTTTCTCACGTTCATGTCCAGGTTATGCAGTCTTATGAGGGCAAAATTCTTTCAACAATCATATGTAATGAAGAATAATGTTTATACGTGTAAAATAGACATTTGCATTCAATTTCAAATACCTGTAAAAATTACACTCTCTTGCAGTTTACAGTTAACCTCTGATGGAGAATATGGTACAAGATACTGTAGGTATTAGGGATTTTATCCTTTTCAACCTTTCCCTGATTTACATTCTGGCCTTGTCATCCAAACATTGTAATTCACGTTACAAACTCATCTTGGCTTTGAGATTAAGTGTTTTTTGCATGCTGTTACCCTTTAGTGACTAGCTAACTTGGCATTTATTTTTTATATAGAGTTCTTTGTTTCAAGCCAAAGTTTACTTCATAAGAACGTTAACCAGCCACTTTTCCTTCTGTTGATGTTTTATGACTAACATATCAAATTTCTGTTTGAGCACAATGCTGAAGAAATAGTCTGGTTTACAGGACTTCAAAGACCATCAGGTCAACAAACATCAGAGGCATAGTTTATGTTTGGTAAAACACATTTGGAACTCCCTCCCTCCCTCGACTCGTATCTGTGAGCATTACTCTACAGTAATTTAACATTGCAGCTCATTTAAAAAATTGAACATTTTTTAAAATTTATTTTTGATAGAAGGATAATCACGTAAGAGTACCATATTGGTTTCTGCCTATGAAGCATTTCTGTTTATGTAGTACCTTTCAGTTTTCCCAACAACTGAGATTGCTCAGATGTTCCTCCAATTTTGTAGAAAATAAATTGGCTCAGGTAGAATGTGACTTAATGTGGCTGGTATGTGACATGGCTTCAGATCAGGTCATTCTTTAAGCTGTCACGGCTGTTGGTTCTAAAACCAGCTCCTTCGTACTGATGATAAAATTTTTAACATATTCTTCAGCATCACTAAGTAAAGGCAATGCTTGAAACTTTCGGTGTTACATCAGAGATTTAATGGGAAATTTTCTTTTCAATGAAATATGAAAATTCTCATTAAATGCTTAAATTTACTTGAAAACCCCTGTGGTCCCTAGATAGGAAGCTTCAGCTTATGTGAAAAGCTTTCCTTTCATCTTTGATTATGTTTTAAGGTAGTGATTACACACAGAATGTCTTGACTGCCACTCTCATCCTTTGCCGGTAGAGGGCGGTGTCCTCCATACGCTTAGCCTTGACCATCTCCATACTGCCCTGGGCTCAGCATCCACAGTATCACGACACTACCGTCTGCTTGTGTTAGCGATGTTCTGTGATCAGTGTGCCTGCTTAAGATCCTAGTGTATGCAGCAGTAATATTTTCTGATTTTAAGTGCAAAATAGGATCTCTTGATTCATGCACATCTGTCTGTTTATATTCCCTTAACAATTCCCAAAACCTTTATGCATAACGTCCCCAAAATGAAAGTATATGTTGAGATTTCAAAAATGTAGCTGTGAACTCTCGGCCCCATTTTGAAACAAGTATTGCCTTTTCAAATTGCCCTCCAGCTCAAAAGCCTCATCTTTTTGCACAAGCAGCACTGATAACATGCCTGTGGACAGAATTACTGAGACTTCAAAGCAACGTGGTACCATGTGTTCCTTTACCTCAATGGCATGCTTCTCTTTCCCTCCATTACTTTACTAGAATGCACAGGTACCCATTTGACATGTTTTGGCTGGGGCACCACCAGGAGCAATCAGCATTGCTCATGGGTGTACCTCCCGTTTCAGTGTTAAAAGTCCTGGACAAATACTGTGAAACAAATGCGTGTTGATTCTGGGGCCAGGGAATGAGAGCACAGCCAGAGTTTACATCCTAGTAAAGAAAATAATTACTTTAAAATATGATAGCATAAAATGTTAAAAACAATAGTTTGCCTTGATTGAGCTCCAAACTGGCACCCAGAAGTTATTTGTTTAAAAGTCTAAGGAATAAATAAAAGGAAGGTCACATAATATTACAATTGTTGGTAATATTTTAGCTATTCAGTTGAATAAATATAGAAGGAGAGGCGCACACATGCACAAACCCTTTTATTAGAATGTGTAAGACCACTTCCTTGGCTGATATGTAACGTGTCTAGTAGATAACACTTTGTCCACCTTGGGTAGGAACATGAATGCATAAACCTCTCCTGATTACAAGAGATGGGGGAAATGTGTTAGGTAAGGCTCTGAAGGAGGTAGAAAGTCACTGGCACAAGAAAATCAGTGACCTAAATTTTAGGGTGACTACCAATTTGGTAACTAGATTAGTTATGTGGTAAAAGTTGATTCTCATCAATGAACTCAATGTGTACAGTGATATAATTAATAAAAAGTTGACGATGAAACACGTCTTTACCCAAAAACTTTAGAGGCAGGCAGTCACATACACTGAATCTTCTTTGTCACTATAATTGATTCTCTAGTTTGACTTCATGGAGTAAGGTACTGGTCATTTTAAAAATACAGTTTTACCTCTAATGTAGTTAAGAAAAATGAAATAGCAAAGCACTTTTCTAAGACACTGAAAGTCTTTAGGAGTCACAGAGGACTCAGTTGACATTCTGGGTAGATCTTGAAACATAACCTGGGGCTTTGGTAACCTGACTTCATATCTAATGCATGCCACATCTCAGTTACAGACGCCAGGCTCCCCAATTTGGTCTTCTGCCTCTGACCGAATTTACCACCATGTCTCTTCTTTTTTCGTGAATAAACAGTTTCTATGGGCTTACTGTGTTTGAGGCAAATATATTGTTTGTACATGAATTCAGGTAGCCCTAGAAGTCGTTAGGGAACCACCTGTCCTGTAGAGTCACACAGTTGGCCCAAGTACAAGATAAACAGCATTTCCTGGTAAACCTGGAACAGTGCAGAGCTTAGATTCCAAGGCCCCATTGTAAGGCGCTGCTGCTGTGACTTCAGGATACAGGATGCGCACACACGGCACCCAGTCAAAGCGAGTGCTTGCTGCCCAAGACCTTGCACAGTGGGCCGGTCTTGAGTCACTACAAAGCAAGCCGTTCCTTTTCTAATCTTGCTTTCCCTCCTTCTCTTCCCACGCCCTCAAGTGAAGCAATAAGACCGAAACTTTGGCTCACAGGCCAGCAACTGAAGAAGTCAACAGCACTGAGCAGCCACTGAGACGCAGTTGCCTTCTTCTGGGAGATTCAGGTCTAAGAGGGGACAGTCTCCTACCGCCGGACAGTGGCAATGAGAGTTTCTAGCTCATCTGTTGCCTCTGGAGTTTACCTCTGAGTTAGCCAGCAATTTTCAACAATGAAAATTATGGTGACTATACTCCCAGCCCAAAATTGGGACCTGTGGTATGATGAAGTTTTGTCCTACTCCTCATTGAAAAAAACAGTCTAAGATACAGTCTGGACTAATACTCAGAGTATTAGCATTTCTGTGATATTTTTATAGTTTAAGGAACTAATGCATGAAATACTTAAAACCGGATTGTTTCAGGAAATGCATGTGCCTTGTATAAAAAGTATAACAGATGTTAACAGCAGAGTTCAGAATAGTACATAACGCCCACTAAACCGTGAGTCCCCTTTTATTGAAGCCTCGTGTCATCTTTCCTCATCTTGATACCTGCTTTTAAAAAAACTTTGTGGCTGGTTGTGGATCAAGCAGATCAGCTCAGAGAGTGATCTTAGGCTAGTCACTTACCTACCCAGCCCATCATCTCTCCGCACCTCATGCATGATTCTCCATTTTACATAACGAGGCTGACTTTCCTTGCTTCGAAGGGATGCTGTGAGCCTGAATGAGGCTGTGTGCACCTAACGCCTTGAACCTAAGTTGCTGCTGACTTTGTAGACTAACCGGCCTCAAACAAAAGCAGTAGTGTACCTCTAGGCAAAGGTACAGGAGGCGGTGAAAACCTCATTCATGCAGAACTGAAATCCTTTTAGCTTTGTCTCTGAAGTACAAATGAGTTATTTATTAGTAAGAACACTCTTGCAGAAGGGCAAATTTTAACCAGCCCACAATGTAGGGTGGCTTTAGAGGGGAAGGGTGACAATAATCCCCAAGTCTACTGTAGTCAAAGTTTTTTTTTTTAATTTTTAAAAGCATGTTTTATTGATTTCTTTTTGGCTGTGCTGGGTCTTCACTGCTGCACAGGTTCTTCTCGATTTGCAGCAAAGCGGGGCTACTCTCTAGTTACGGTCCTCGGGCTTCTTCTGTGGTGGCTGCTCTCGTTGCGGAGCACAGGCTGTCTGGTGCGTGGGCTTCAGGAGCTGCAGCAAGTGAGCTCAGCAGTTGCGGCTTTTGGGTTCTCGAACACAAGCTCATTAGGTGCGACACATGGGCTTAGCTGCTCCGCTTCCTGTGGGATCTTCCCCGCTGAGAGGACAGCATGTGTCTCCTGCATTGGCAGGCGGGTTCTTTATCACTGAGCCACCAAGGAAGCCCAAGAAGGTTTTTTAATAGTGGGGGTACACAGAACTGATTGGGGTGTGAATATTTCTTCAGCTTCTCACACGAAAAGAAATTCCATCCAGTAGTTACAAACTGTGTTTCTAGTTATGGGACACACATTTTAAAAGAGGGAACGCTCATTTTCACTGGAAAGCTGATTAGAAATCCTTGTCAGGAGCGTAGTTCTGGTGTATGATATCACTCTATTTTTGTATCTTTGGTTTTTCAAGTTTAATACCGGAAAGGAAGCCACAAAACTATCTACTGGAGCCATTATCAGGGACAGACCCC